GGATTATTTTGGATGTATAGCCATGGTTCATTCTCTGAGGGAGTTGAGACAGCGGTGAGGGGGGAAAAAACACAAAAAACAAAAAACGCTACACCAGAAGCAAGAACACAGATTCTACGAGGGGACAACAGTGGGAGGGGTGGTGTCTGTGTGCGTCGGGGGCAGGGGAGGCGGGGTGGAGGTGGAACTAAGGAGACCCTGCCCTGCACCACGCTTTGGCTGGATCTTGAGGGACATGTGGACGTTGATGGGGAACAGGGGACTCCGAGGGGGGTTGCTGGCGGTGGAGAAAGTCTGCTCAAAGGCACGGAGGTGCAGAAGGGCAGGGCACAGCTGAGCTGCAAGGTGCAGAAGGTCAGCTGGGAAGGGTTCTGATACCAAAGGATTTTGGAGTTTGTTCCACAGGCACTGGGGATGCAGAGACAGATCCTAGGAAAGAGCAGTATCAGAGTGAGTCAGAAAGATCCCTCTAGAAAGGCCCCTCCCACTGTAGTGAGGCTGATGGAGACGGGAGGTCAGCCAGGAGGCTTTGGCCATGCCCACGAGGGAGGGAATGAGAGAGTCTGACCCCAGGCACTGGTTGTGGGGACAGAAGGTAGAGGGTGGTGGATGTGGGGAGTGAGGAAGGCGGGTTTCCTGGCTGCCTCTGAGGTTCCAGCATAAGGAGAACCCAGATAGGCAGTGGCGGTGTTAACTTTAGTCCTTCCTGACCTCTGACCTGGTCCACCTTTGCTGAACCACCCTGTCTCTCTGAAGCCCTGGTAATGTAAACACCCAGCTGGGGCAGGTTCCAGTCCCCACTCCCCCATCCCTAGCTGTGCAACCTCGGAGAAGTCAGTCCCCATCTCTGACCTTCTGGGCTTCAGTTTCCTTAGCTGGAAATGGGACGGCCTGGAAGCAAGGCTGGCGTGAAGAGCATAAACTCTGTGCTTGTTTCCGATCGCCCCTGGCAGGAGACAGGCTCACTCAAATTGGGGAATTGGGAGGCAGTTTTAAAAAGGGCCCTTTCCAAAGATCTGGGTGGGTGTAGAAAATCTCAAGGGATCGTTCGGTGCCCAGGGCTGGTGACAGTCATCCCAGTGACCACCTGGAAGCCTATATGGGGAGGGCCACTGGCAGGGACTGGGGCTGGGGCTGCAGCAGCCTCCCTCTGACCATTCAGATGGGGAGCCCTGGTCCCCGCTCTTCAGTGGTCTACACCCCAGGAGACTGAGTGTGGGTTTCTCTTTGAGTGTGAGAAAAGCAGTGGGCAGCCCCAGCCAACCATCAGTCTCATATGGAGGTCAGCAGAGATTCACTTTCTTGATCAGCCTCCTAGACCCAGGCCAAATCAGAGGAACAGGCCAAGGCAAGCTGCTAATTTAAAATTCAATTGCGTCCAAAGCCCTCACCCCAGGACCTGAAGTTCCCTTTTCCACTTTCTATGCCCCATCTCTCTCTCTGCTTCTTTTCTTCCCTCCATCTCTGTCTTTCCTCCTCCCCTCTTTTTTTTTTTTTTTTTTTT